AAGGAAGGAAGGAAGGAAGGAAGGAAGGAAGGGATAGGGAGGAAGGAAGGAAGGAAGAAAGGCTGGAAGGAATAAAGGATGAAAGAATGGAAGGAATGAATGAAATAAGAAAGAAAAAAAGAAACAAAAGATAAGCGAATAGAAGGAAGAATCAGAAGAAAGAAAAAAGAGAAAGCAAGCGAGAAAGGAAAACCTAGAGGAAGAAAGAAGAGAGGGTTATGAAAGGAGGTATGAGGGAGGAAGGAGGAGACGAAGGAAACAAAAGCCTCACTTAAAATCACTGAATTAACGACGTCATAAAAAAGAGCATGTCCTCATGGCCATCAGTGAATTGCGCGAACAAATCACTCAACACACAATCTGCATCAGTAAAGACACCATAAGCTGCACGCATCCAACCATCGATCAGTGAATAAAACATCTTGATGCTATTAGCCTTAAATTACGAATTGTATACTGAGATTTTTCAGACGCCAAGGAAATCTAACCTGAAAGCTTTTAAAGTACGAATCACCTGATATATAGACAGCAGCTGTGACGTATATAGATGAAAGGGTTTGTCTCTTATAATTGGATCTCAAAAAGCCTTAATGGTCAATGACTGGTTATCGTGAGTAGTGAAATGAAAGTATAAGATACAAAGCTAAAAAGGCAGCAACGAAAGGAAATTTATACCTTCGAAATTTTTAACTGACTACTGATTTTTAAGAAAAAAAAAAGCGTTGATAGTTGTAATGAACTTTTTTAGCCATTTTTTTTATCAGCTATCGCTAATAATGAATAGAAGTATAAATTGAAATCAGTAGAGAAACGGAGAAAGGAGCGATAGCACAGAAAGTATTAACACAGATTTCTGCTGTTTGGCGCTGCTCTTTCATCGTTGAAAGAAATCATTTTGATCGATTTGATAAGTAAATAAATTCAGTGAATGACTGCATAAAATAATAATGACAGGGGAAAAAGAAAAGGCAATTTATAATTTCATCACGAATTCATTGTTTAGGAAGCTTTGTAGATCATTAAAAGGAATATTTATGAAAATGACATGATGCTACAAAGTATCATTGCGTCAGAATTATATGTGCTCGAAAGGTGAATTTTTCGCATGGGTTTGTAATATGCGCAAAAGTACGATGTTTACTTTTTTCACTAAACTTAGAAAAATTTATAATTTGTTTTCACAGTTTATGCTAATTATATTCCACTTAGATTAACAAACTTTCATTCGCGTATATCCGTGGCTTTGATTAGATCAGTAATCTCGGTAAGTTTGAACTTGGGGAGTAATGTTTTATGGTTATATAGAACAAAACCGAAAAATAATGAATGAATGAAGTAATGAAATTTTGATTTTTTTTTTAAAAAGGAAGTACAAAGAATAATAAAAACTGCAGCATTCGTGTGTTTATCGCATGGTAAACTCAATTAGATTAACTCTTGCCTCAATCGTCGACCGAACTCATCAAAAACATTCTCCATGAGCACTTCCTTCTTTCGAAACGAGCTCCAACTATAATCTTTATTTAATATGAATTATATTGTTCGTGTCAGGATTTTTTTCATTTTTTATTTGATTAGCTATGACGAAAGCTTCTTATTACTGGTATATAGTTTTGCTCCTTTGTGATTTACTACACGTCAATTATATAGTCTTTTTTTTCTATCTCTCTCCGGACGGCGAGTGTCAGCTTATAATTGGCTGGATTGATTAATTCTTTGGAATTCTGTATAGAAGTTAATTCAGGGAATTAGAAGTGGAGTTCAGTCGAATATTTCCACACGCTGTATGATATATTCCATTCATGAAATAATTTTGGTTTGGATTGGTTGGGTTCTAAGAAGGTCACTTGGATAATTGTACTTGGGTTTTAATTATACACTGTACACTCATGCTGTAGCGCTATGCATCTACACTATATCTTTATGTATACTTAAACTGAACACACATATATGAAGAGAGAATGAGGGAGAGAAATAAGGACAATATATAGCATGTATATAAAGACCGTAGTGAGAAAGAGATGAAAGGAAAAAGAAGAAGAAGAGCAAGGTTTGAAGCAGGGTTTTGTCTGTTGTGCTATTGTTAGTACTGGGATCACTATAGATCCAAAGCCGGTTAAGAACCTTGACTAATAAATGAGCTAAGTAGCTGTTTCCGGGCTGATCTCTTATAGGGTCCAAAGCAGTCGTTTTGATGTGTCGATGGATTGCGTATATCTGTGTTGATAGATGAGTAGATTTGTGCATAACTAATAGCGACAAGTCTTTTTAACATAACCAAGACGTCCAAAAAGCAATTACCAAGGAAAGCAAGCCGGAGGAATCGTCGCAGCCGATTTCGATTCCATTTATCGCACATAGACACAGTTTGGTACATGCTAATGAGCAGTTAAAAGAATTGCTAATGACAAGTGGTTGTGTCGCTTTTAAGGGATAAATCTCGCACGTTCTTACAGGTATCTAGTCGACCTAATAAAGACCACACGGATTTATTGGCCCTGGATCGTGGGCTGTAATAACATAACCTCGCCTGAGCGGGCAGAGTTTGTTATTCTTGACAAATGTCTGATTGAGTTTTGATTTCACGAAAAGCAACTTAGTTGATCGATATTAATTACCAAAAAACATCAGTTCTGCACCTCGGACGAAGCAGGCTTTCACTTCGAGAATAATTACGCGGGACAAAGGGACAATAGAAGACACTTTGAAAGGAAAGTCAAAGAAAGCTTGACGACAGAGGAAAACCTTGAACACCCGTGTTGGGTTGTACATATGGCTTAAGGTTTTTCACTCAGGAATATTTTCAATTGACTGACAAAGACTTCATAAATTTTCACTTATTTGTTCTGCGTTGGATTGGTTCAACAGTCACGTATTGGAAGAGATCTAAACGGCATGTACAGAATGGCAAACTCTAGTAATTTTACGACTTCTGCCATTCCTCCAAGGTCAGGCCACCCAGATCAAGTGGACTTGTACATAGTCATCCTCACCAGTGCTTTAATAGGCATTCTCATCATTCTTACCATCGCGGGCAATGTCATGGTTTTGCTAACATTTTGTTTATGTAAGGAGCTCCGTAGCATCACTAACTATTTTCTCATTTCTCTATCGATCGCTGACCTACTGACAGCTCTCCTGGCGATGCCTATATTTTTACTCTTGAGAATAACGAACGAACAATGGAATTTCCCCGGAGCTGTTGTCTTCAGAAATATTTTTGTGGCGGTGGATATTATTTGTGGTTCAGCATCGATATGGAACTTATGCCTTATAAGTATGGATCGATTCTTAGCTATCAGAATGCCTCTAAAACATATGGTCATTCTGACACCAAGAAGGGCGCAAGTTGTGATTGTCATTGCTTGGGCTCTTGCTTTATTAGTCTCTTCACTGCTCTACACTTCCTGGCCTTATAAGGTGTATCCTATAGTAACATTAAGCTTCTTTCTTCCACTTACTATCATTATTTTCTCGTACGTCAACATTTACAGAACAATGAGGAACAGGACTTTCGTGCAGAGAAGAAGAGCCGGAGCAAAGTTGAAGAGGGATTTTCGAATGGCAAAACAAATGATATTGGTAATTGGCTCTTTTATCGTTTGTTGGTTCGGCTTCTTTGTTGTCAATGTTATTTTAGCTTTGACAATTCCCGTGGATCTCGTAGTTCTCAACATCGTCAAGGTACTAACATACCTCAACTCCTGCATAAATCCTCTTTTGTTCACTTTTATCAGTCAGAAATTTAAAGTAGCGTTTTCGCAAATTTTTCATTGCCAAAAACCGAACCTTCGCAAATCGAGGTTGAACTCKAGACTAATACAAGACGAAAACAGCAGATATGGATACTCCGTGATAAACAACTCTCATTCGGCTACAAATACTGTGAATGGAACGAAAACTCCCACACCACAAGTAAAAAGACGAATACTGGCCGGAAATAGAATTTATTTGGAAAGGGAAACGACAGTTTAAAGAGTGAAAATTACAGGATTTTAATGGAAAAGAAGTAGAAGAATCGTTATCAGATTTACTGAATCCTTTAAAAGTGTATTCCATTTATCACGTTTTTACTTTCTTAATTAAACATTTCTAGATTGTCACCTGAATTGTTCTTGTTTTGTGGAGAAGGATTATTTTTATCTGGAAATCACTTAGTGCACTTGTTAATGACGTTTGATGAAGAGAAAATAAATTGGGCATAGTGATGACAAGCAACAAGGACGCCAAAGTCCTATTCACGTTGTCTTCAAGGTTTTAATTCACGCTGCCAGTGTAACTAATAATAAAAGTAATTGCAAATGAGGAAAAAATATTAAACCATAATCTCAAAGTTGGGCGGCAGTATTCCTAATAAGTTTAAATACATGCCATCTGTGTCTAGAATAAGAAATCTCGTGGGAATTAGAAATAATTGCAAACTGTTTTGAAATTGAAAAGTCTCTGTGGAGGAGAATATTTACTGTTGAATGTATAAAGTATTAAGGTAGGGAGCTGTCATCCATGTTGATTAGAAATTTCATTGTTATTTGGATAACAAAAGCGAAGATAATCGCGTCTGTGTTTATTAAGATTACACTAAAAAACAGTATTAAAGTTTAGAATGGAATAAACGTTTGAGTGTCTTTCAGATTTTTTTCTTGTGTTTAATTCATCACAAATACAACCTAATACCAAGTGCTTAAATTTGAAAGAAAATTTCTTGGTCAATAGTTCAGGGAGGATTCAGCCAATCAGAGAGCGAGTTGATCTTTAAATGAACGCAGAATATTTCTCCATGTGCTATATTAAATCTTCAATGTTTGTTTACAAGAACTTCAAATACGTGGATGACTTATTCATCTCAGTTCTATAGTGTCCTTAAATCGACAGTACGAAGTGAGATTTCGAATCCGTGGTCCGGGGGTGTGGAGGGAGATTGAGGTTGGTATTCATCCTATTTATCCAATGGAAAGGCTGTGAAAAGCGATCAAAAAGTTAAAATCGTAGGTTTAAAGTGTGCTTCAAAATTTGTCACATTTTGGCTCTTTTGAATCGTACAGCTTGGATACAATTTGGGCTTCAAAACGTAATATCTATTGTAATCGTGTACGTAATCGTAGGTTTAAAATTTGCTTCAAAATTTGTCACATTTTGACTCTTTTGAAGGGTACGGCTTGGATGCAATTTGGAATTAAAAACGTAATATGTCTTTTGTTGTTGTTTTTGTTCTTGTGTGATTCGTGCAAACTTAGCGAAAACTGATCAGAGAATTGAGAATATCAAATCCACTATGGAGAGCGAAGAAGAGAATAGACTTAAAATGAAGAGAAAGTCAATTTAGATAAGAAAGGCAATAAATAAATAAATAAATGAATAAATAAATAAATAAATGAATAAATAAATAATGATGAACGAACGAACGAACGAATGAACGAACGAATGAACGAATAAATGAATGGATGAATGAACAAATACCCTTGTTTTGTAAGACTACTGGCGAGTAACCACTGAATCACAAATCTGTAACCCACTTTTTATGATCGAATTAATGAAATCTTAAAATACAAATTTAGCCTAAAATCTCTTAAAGTTAAAGAAACGATTTTCCCGCCATTACTAAGAAAAGTGTACCGATAGTCGCAATAAATGTTTACCTAATTTTAGGCGAGTAGCCCTACCTCCCACTTCTCCAGCCACAAAACACTTAAAATATCTGATCTTATATTACTTTCATAAATGCAACTTAGGAGGGACGAATTAGGAAGCTAAAAGTGTTAATTAGTACATTCGAGAAAAAATCTGTCCAATTTGAACTTGATTTCAACCACAAAACTTAAATTACTGTCGCATTGTTAGTAAGTGAGACGAGGTCTCCTGGCAATATCGACTTTACTGTCTTCAATACAATAATCATCAACATGATTTCTACAGCCCGTCTTTACAGTTACCTAGGAACATAACTACTTTGTTTATCTACTACTCTGTCTGGTTCGGTTCAATAACCTAGATTATTCCATGCGTTCGATTCTCCCAGGAGAACTATGTTTTCGAATCGATTTATCGACACTGATCTGAACTTCTATTCATATATACTCTATAGCTTTTTGTCGCTAGAGACAAAGGATGTTTTTCAAACGATTAGACTGAACTTCATTTTCTTGTTCATTTATTTGTATTCGCTTTTTGAGTTTTTTGTTGTTTTTTTTGTTGGTTTTTTTTGTTTTTTGTTTTTTTAAAATCTTTTTGGACTTTTTTTTTGTTTTGTTTTGTTTTTGCCCTTTGATGGTTTACGACAATAGAGGTAAAACAAATATCCAAAAATAAATCCCCCAAGTGGTTTTTAAATCGCATTATTCGTATTCCTACAGAAGTTACTTTGTAAATAATAGAGATGTGCTAACTAAACATTGTGCTAAGATATTATGATGACATTTAGTCGATAACACTTGAGCAGTTTGGTGATTAGACCTGTATATCTGGGAGTCGGGTTGAGAGCTGGTATCTCTTAGATTAGATCAGAGAAAACAAATATTTTATCAGGTTTTTAAGAGGATTTACAGATATTGATCGTGAAGCCGATATTGTTGTCGTTTCCAGATTCGAAAGATCGATTTTTGATAAAGAGCTCTATAGAGGAAAGGGGATCACATGATGATAAAAAATTTATAGTATTAATTCAGTTCCTTATGAAGAAAAGAGAGAAACGAAAGAAAGATAGGAAGGGAAAGATAGAAAGGAAGGAATAATGAGAGAAAGGAAGGAAGAAAGAAAGGAAGA